GAGGCCCCACAACGGTCCCAAAACGGCTACCGAGAAGCTGCGAAACTGCCTTCACGACGTCCCCGACAGGCCAACCACGAGATCCAAACCAACACCCATGAGGCCTCTGACCCACCACCCAGGGCACGGTGGCGGAAGCATTGACAGCACTTGTGCACAGCATGTTCCGGCGAGAGCCTTCCGGAACACGCTGCAGGAGGAGGAAGATCAAGAGGAGAGAAAGGTGGAGTGGGAGGAGGAGGAGGGGGACGAGGAGGAGGAAGAGGCCTCCCAGACTGCTCCAAGATAGCCGAAGAGGCTTCCAAGAGGGCCCTGGGCGGCCCACGAGGGCCCAAAGGCGGTGCCTGAGGCGCCCAAGACGGCCCTAGAGGGCCCCAAGACGGCCCCAAGAGAGGCCCAAGAAGGGAACGACGAACCGAGAATCCGAGCTTTCTACCCCGAGAGGTTCTCGGGAAGTCCCAAGAGGCCCCCAATCGGATCCAAGAGGCTCCCAAGAAGCTCCCAAGAGGGCCGACGAGGTTCCAAGAGATCTCCCAAGGTGGCTCCAAGAGGCACAACTCATTGTTTTACGATTGGGCTTTGACGGGTTTTAATTTTTTCTGCCTTTTGGCATCCCGATGCTCCAAGACGGCCCAAGAGGCTTCCAATGCCCGTCCCATATAGGGAGGAAGAGGCTTCCAAGAGGGCCCCAAGACGGCCCGCGATGGCCCCAAGACGGTGCTTGAGGCGCCCAGGACGGCCCGAGAGGGCCCCAAGAGCCCCAAGGGAGGCCCAAGAAGGGGAACGCGACCCAACAGCAGAGCGGTCCCCCCACAAGGCCCACAGGAGGCCGCAAGAGGCCCCCAAGTGGTCCGACGAGGACCCCAAAAGCTTCCCGAGGGCCTCAAAGGCACCTAGGAGACGTCCAAGAGGCTTTAAAATAGCCCAAGACTGCCCTCGATGCGTCAACAGCTGCTTCCAGGACGCCCCAGGCAGGCTTCTGGATTGCCTCAATCTGGCCGCAGGTGGCCTGAAGTCGGGCCTCCACGCAGCCAAGACGGCCAATGACGGCTTCAGATTGCAGAACCGATGCCCCCAAGGGACCCTCAGACGCCCCCCCAAGAAGCACCCAAGAGGTGTCTCCAACAGCCAGTTGACGAAGCATGCGAAACACCCCAGAAGCTCCTCAGATGCCGTCGCGCGCCTGTGCTTGATAGCGTTGTCCAAGATCGTCCAGCGCCCCCCTGGCCTGGGCTAGAACCTGAGCGCGCGCGAAGCGCGCGCGCGATGGTTGTAGCCCAGGGGCCCGAAAACAGCTGCCCGATCCTCCATGGGAGTACGGGGGCTCATTTTCGCTGTGTTTTTACAGGGTTTCGGCGTCCTGGGCCTCGGGGGCCGCGGCGATGGTCCCAGACATTTTCCAGATCCTCGGCGCGTGCTCCAAGACCATTCCGCAGAGGGCTCCAACAGGCTCCAGGGCAGCCCAAGAGGGCTCCAAGACGGCTCCATGAACGACTGCAGGGTCTCATTTTTCTTGTGTTTTCTGCAAGGCGGCTCCAGGAAGACTGCATGTCTTATGAGGATGGCTTCCGCCTCTCGCCCCGAGCATCCCAAATTGCCTGAACGGTTCCCACTCGCCTTCCCCAAACCCAGCGCTTGCCCAAGCGCGTTCCGGACGGTCTTCGCCGGAACGCGCTGGAATGATCACGCGCTGCGGTTTCCCATGCCAACGTCCTCGGACGTGGGCGCCCTGCCACGAGCGCGTTCCGGGAAGATGCTCCCAGAACGCGCTGAAAAGATATGGCCACATCTCGGGGACGCTCCCGGCACCGCTGCCCCAGCCTTTCCGGGCAGCCTCCATAGCGCTCCAGGAGGGCCCAAGACGCCCCCCAGGAGCCCCCAGAATGCGAAAGGATGGCCCAAGACGCTCATGAGCAGCCCAAGTCAGCCTTCCGACGGCTCTTGAGGCTCCCAGGTGGCCTCCAAGAGACCCCAAGAAGTCTGATAGGTATCACGGTGCGGCCCGAAGAGGCCAAAGTCGTATATGTTCAATGGTATTTTCAATGTTTTTGGCTTCTCGCGTTTTCGAGCTTGAACGGGTCCAAGAGCGCCGAAGAGCCTCCATGGGGGTAATTACGGGGGCTCATTTTCCCTGTGTTTCTAAAGGGTTTCCGCGTCCTGGGCCGGCCTCGGAGGCCGCCGCCTCCGACTCCTCATGGGAGGACGGGGCGGCCGGGGAGGTCCAAAATAGTCCAGGAGGGCCTCCAGAGGCTCCCAAGACGGCCCAAGCGGGCCCCGAGTCGCCGAAAGCCCGCTCCAGGACGCCCAAGATAGACCCAAGACGGCCCGAGAGGCCCCCCAAGGCACTCCACGACGCTTCAAGACGCCTATCCAGAGCGCTTCAAGAGGCCGAAATCGTCAAATTTACGAAGGTTTTCGAACGATTTTGGCCTTCCAGCCTTTTCGGCTGTCCGATGTTCCAAGACGGCTCAATAGGCCCCCAAGAGCGCCCCAAGACGGCCCAAGAGGGCCCCAAGACGGCCCCAGAGTCGCCCAAGACAGCCCAACAGAGCCCCAAGACGGCCCCAAGATGCGCCCACGAGGGGGACCACGACTCCAAAATTCGACCCTCCCGCTTGAAGAGTGCCCCAGGAGGCCCCAAGGAGCCCCCCAAAGGCCCCAGGAGGCCCCCAAAAGGCACCCAGGAGGCCCAAACGAGGCCTAAAGAGGCCACAAAACAGCCCCGAGGAGGCCCCACAACGGTCCCAAAACGGCTACCGAGAAGCTGCGAAACTGCCTTCACGACGTCCCCGACAGGCCA